CCCTGAGATAAAATCATTTTTTTTCTGGTCAAACAGGTATTGAAAAATATGTACCAATTGTGTTGGATAAAAACAAATCCAGTAGCAAGATTCTTTAGTTCAATGATTTAGAATTTTTTATCAGAATTAAGTTCTCTATCGCTATTTGATTTTGAAAAAGTGAAGGGTGGGATCTTTTATTTCAACTGAAAAGTTTGGCACCTAGAAAAACAAGTCTGAGTCACAGCCATTCTCATCTCTAGTTTATGGCATTAACCCAAGTGAATAAAGATTACTTTTGACTCCTGGTAGGACTCTGGGACTTTGTGCCTGAAATTATGGTGAAGGCAACAAATCATATCTTCGGGCCTTCGTTTCCTGACAAAATAATAAAAATAATCCTTGCATTTGATGTAGCACCTTATCACGTCGTCGAGATATCTCAAAGCGCTTCACAGAATACACTGTAAAGCGAATTGACTGTATATTTTGTTGGCAAAATGCAACAGCCAATTGCCCACAACAGTGTCCTACAAACAGTCATGGATTGAAGTGACCAATCTTTTTTTTTTGAAGGAATTATTACCCCTGGAAAAGCGATCTGCCAATCGACCAATCAATCAAAAAATGGGTTCCTACTTACTGCTACGTAAACCAGAGACGTGTGGAGTAAGGAAACTTGCTGGGAATCAAACCCAGGTCTAGAGTGAGTGCTCTAACCACTGAGCTACAGGTCTCCACTTTGATACTTCAGATCAGACAAAACTTTCTTTGAACCTGTGACTTAAATAAGAAGCTGGATTTGCTATGACAACAGAGCATCGGGAGTTACAATGACCTGCCCTGATTTACATAAAGGGCCCACAGGGACACAATGGATTTGAATGTGATTTTGACCTTGGACAGATGGTTTCTATCTAAAGTCAAATTTACTAATAAAGCTAGTGAAACACTATTTTACACCAAGTGGTCATTGAGTGCAAATCAAAATGAGTTAGTCTAACTTTGGGGGTGAGAAACTTAATGTTAAAATAAGAGTTCCAAAATGAGTCAATAATTATTGAATAGCCAATCCTCAACAACAACTTGCATTTGTTTCACCCCTTCCCTCCTTCAAGGCCCATCTCAAGACTTTCCCCTTTGACCACGCCTTAGGTTATCTTCCTACCATTATCCCCTTTCCCCCACCCTTCTTGAATCCAGCCCCCAACTTGGGTGCAAATCCTAGACTGTCCAGAGCCTTGAGACATCCTCCCAATGTGAAAGGCACTATATAAATCCAATTTGTTGTTGTTGTACAAAAGATAATGGCAATGCACATCATTTGGCCCACAAAACATGTTGTACGATGAGTTATTACAATCCAGGTCACTCTGAAATTACCAAAGATACTGAACGAAAATGAAGTTCTTCCCCAGACAGAAGGAAAAATGATCTGATGGCAAATCGAGTCATCCTGACCCTTTGCATTTCCTGTCACCTGGTTTCAGACCTCCAATGTTAGATAATGTGGAGGGAATAACCTCCAAATGCAAATAAATTATCTCCCCCTCCCCAGCAAAGTTTTTCTTATTTTATTTATCATATCTTTATTTCATTTATTTAACTCTTGGATTGACCATATGTACCGCAACATTTTTCTCTAGTTCTGTGCACTCTGGGCAGGGAACATAAAGAAAAATATAGAAGGATTCTATAAAACACATAAAAATCAAAAGAATAGTTAAAAAAAAAGTATGGCTAATTAGAAATGAACTGGGAAATCCAGTCAAGAAAATGAAAGTATGCAGGGATACAGAATGAGTAGTTCTTCTTAGTTTTTACAGAAGAGAATGGTACTGAGACATTGTGTGTATCAGAGGGGTGTGTGCAACAATTAGAATAGATCGTTATAGAAAGGAAGGGATGCTTAATAAAATAATGAACTCAAAGGGAACACGTCACAAGGCCCTGATGGCAGCACTTGAGAATGTTGAGGGAATTCAGGGAGGAAATAGTAGATGCTCTGGCAAACATCTTTGCAGTTCAAAGTTGTGCCAGGAGATTGGAGAGTAGCTAATGTATCACCTCTGTTTTAAAAGGGAGAACAGGAGCAAGCGAGAAAACCTTTAGAAGCTATAATACAGCATATTAATAACCACTTGGAAATACATGGGTTGACTAAAGACAACAAACAACAACTTGTATTTATATAGTGCCCTTCATGCGGGATAGTATCATGGATCACTTAACAGTCAGCATGGATAAAGGCAAGTCTTACCTGGCAAGTCTAATTTTTTTATTTTTCTTAAGAAATAATTGAGAAAATAGATGATGAGAATGCTGTGAATGTGGCATATATGGATTTTCAGAAAGCTTTTGATGAGGTGTCGCATAGGAGGCTTGTAAAAACAAAATTAAGGTGCATACGAATAATGGGAGGTAACAGCATGGATAGAAGGTTGGTTAAAGGATAGAAAACATGGTAAGAATAAAGGGTTGTTATTTAAAGTGGAGATAGGTGGTGTGCCCCATGGTCAGTGTTAGGACCGTTGCTTTTCTCCATTTATGTAAATTATTCTAGCATAAGTGGCACCATTTCTAAATTTGCAGATGACCAAAAACTAGGCAGTATAGTTAACAATGAAGATTATAAACAACTTCAGGGGGACATAGGCCAATTAGTTGATTGGGCAGAGAAATAGCAAATGATATTCAATATGGAATCTTAGGTTTCTTCCCTTCTGGTACCTCCCTACCTCTCCAACCTCTTCACTCCCCAATCCACCACCCAGCACCTCCACTCGACTGGCACTGGCCTCCTACTTGGCCCTTGGACCATCCACCCCACCATTGGAGGTCGGGCTTTCAGCCACAATGCCCCGAAACTCTGGAACACACTCCCTCAATCCCTCTATATGCCTCCTCTCTCTCCTTTTTCAAGTCCCGCCTGAAAACTTTCCTCTACGATCATGCTTATGGCCACCTCCTCACCTCAGTTCGGTGTCAGGCTCTGCCACTGTTAAGCACTCTGAGATGCTACCCTGTGTAGAGGGCTCTATATAAGTGCAAGTAGTTCTTTTGTAAATGGGGGTATACAATATAAAAGCAGAGGTAATGCTAAACTTCTATAATAATATAATAATAATCCTTGCATTTGATATTGCATCTTGACACATTGTTGAGACGTCTCAAAGCGCTTCACAGAATATAGTGTAAAGTGAATTGACTGTATATTCTGCGTGCGAAACATCACAGCCAATTGTGCACAGCAGCGTCCCACAAACAGTCGTGGATTGAATGACCAAGTTATTATTAGAATACTAAAATAAGCACACTCTTTCATCCATCTTGGCTGGATGCTTCAACTATGTCTGCACGAAACACAACTGCATTTTACATTTTACTTATCATTAGTTATATTGCTATTATATTCTTAGTTAGACCACAGTTAGAATATTGTGTCCAGTTTTGGTCATTACACTTTAGGAAATGCGTCAGGGCAATAGAGGGTGCAGAAGAGATTTACTGGGAATAATACCAAGGATGAGGGGTTTGACTTACAAGCGGAGACTGGAAAAACTGGGACTCTTTCCTCTGGAAAACAGAATGTTGAGGGTGACCTGACAGAGTCTTTAAAATGATGAGGGGTTTTGATAGAGTCAATAGGTAAAAATTATTTGCACTGGTCGGTTAGTTCAGTAACAAGAGGGCAACCAATTTAAGATGGTTAGTAAATGAGCAAATGGGCAAGTTAGGAGAATTTGTTTCACACACACACTAGTTAGGATATGGAATGTTCTGCCGGGAGTAGTGGTTGAGGCAGAATCCAAATTGGCCTTCAAGAGGGATCTAGATAAATACCTTAAAAAGAGTCAGCTAAAGTGGTGTGGGGAAATAGCTAGTAAGTAGGATAGAAAGGATTGCTCTTGAGGGAGCTGGCACAGACACAATGGACTGAATGGACTTCTTCTGTGCCGTAAATTGCTATGGTTCTATTCCTAACAAATGACAATGATAAGCCTTAGCTTGTGGGCCCCGTCATATTCTCTCACTTTGCATTCTCTTCCCGTCCTGACTTCCTAGCCCTCTCTCTCTGACCACAAGCTGGCACAGTACAACAAACACTGCAAGTGCTGCCGGAAGCTGTGGTTGAAGAAAAAAACGTCAACGTATTTAAGAAACTTAATTCATGCATGAGACAGAAGGCAATAGAGGGGTATAGGAGAGGGGAATAGGAGGGGTTGAGGTGTCTGTGGAGTATAAACACCATTAGGGATTAGTATGGCTCATTTCCACTGTAACATTCTATGTACTTGTCACATCATCAGCAGCAGTGATTTCCAACAACAATCCAATATAATACTGAATAACATAGATTTTAACCTTTTCTCAATATTTTTGACTGCGCTACACTGGGAAGAATAGCCGCAAAATACTGTTTAGAATTGCACTCAAGCCAATTACTTATTAAGATGCTAGCAACATGAGACTCTGGAAACACAAATTCACAGCACCCCCGACAAATGTAGTTCCTCCATGTCTCAATAAAAAAGCAGCATTATGAAACCCTCTTCTCCGACAAAGTTTTCGTCCACCCTCATTTGCAGGATTACACTCGTCATTATTGCACCAATATCTCTTATTAGTTGGTAAATTGTACTGATACACATCCAGGGTGCATTAACCAGCTTCCTGTTAACCTAGGCCCTTCACAGAATAAAATGCTTCAAGGCAGCGAACTGCTTAGATGTTTGCAAATCCTAATTGTTCACAAATACTGGTTAGTGCACCTGAATGCTGGCATATCAAGCCCCTACCAACACTTGTGTGAGATCATAACAACATCAGGACATTGGTTAAAACTAGATCTAACTATGTGAAATTAATCAAATGCTTCATTTTTGTGTCAGAACAAAAAACAATTTGCATATTGTGCAGATTCTTATCAAAATATGCAGCGGTAAAGCAAAGTCCAACACATTTAAACCTCTCACTAAATGTCAGCATCCATTCGGCATTAACTTGCGAAATTTTCCTACCTGTTGAGGATGGATGAAAAGTCCTGGCTCTTAAAATGGCGTCTTTGCAAAAAGAGGAGAGGACAAAGCTATGCAACCGAATTTGCAAAAGGAGAAGTGGTTACTCGACCGTCTTCCTGCTTACATGCAAACTACACACTAAGTTGCAAAAGTGAGGTACAGATGTCTAAACCAGGCAGTTGCACTTTCCGGAACTGAGGTCACTGATAGTTTGACAAGCAAGCAGCAGGAAGTAAGTGTGAGTCTCACTTTAAAAGCCTTCTCATTCTATATAGTTAAATTTCATTTGGGAGCATTAATTTGAGGACACAAGTTCTGTTTATTCTATTATGGAATCCTGTAGCTCAGTGGTTAGAGCAATTGCTGGGTTCGATTCCCAGGACGGCGAGTTTCCTTACTCCACACGCCTGATAATAATCCCTCAAGTAAAAAAACAAAATAGAATAATAATTTGGTTACTAAATCCACAACTGTTTGTGGGACACTGCTATGCGCAATTGGCTGCAGTGTTTTGCCCACAAATATACAGTTAATTCACTTTACATTATATTCTGTGAAGCGCTTTGAGACGTCTAGAAAACGTGAAAAGCACTATATCAAATGCAAGGATTACTATTTTACATTATTATTATTCAATATCCACGTCACACAATGACTAACCTACAGCAGAAATGTACCGGAGGAGTAGAGAACTAAGAAATATGAGGAATAAGTTGCTTTAAAAACATTTTTAGATGATTCACCACTTGAATTACCTCATATGTTAGAGCACACGCCTCACAAGCGAAAGACCTGGGTTCTATTCCCGGCAAGGCGAAATGTTGAGCAAATTTCCTTACTCCACATGCCTCTGTTTATCTAGCAGTAAGTAGGAACATGGTTGTTAGTCGATTGGCAGATCGCTTTTCTGGGGATAATAATCCTTAAAAAAAAGTAATAATAATTTGGTCACTCAATCCATAACTGCTTGTGGGACACTGCTGTATACAACTGGCTGCTGCATTTCACCCACAAATAAGCAGTCAATTCACTTTACAGTGTATTCTGTGAAGCACTTTGAGAAGTCTAGAAGACGAAAAGCGCTATATCAAATACAAGGATTATTATTAAACCACCAGATTTACTCTATTCATGTAGCACCACAGCATAAAAACAAATTGGTCATTCACTTTATGGCTATTTATGGGACATTGCTGTGGGCAAATTGGCTTCCTCGTTCGCCCACAAAAAACACTGTTACTGCATTTTACAGTATATCCTGTGAAGAGCTTTGAGACATCCTCCTGACGTGAAAGGTGCTATACCAAATATAGGGATTAATTTTTGCCACATACAAATGCACACAGGTGCTCAGCACACAGACGCACACCACATACATACACACACACACACACACAAACACATATATGCATACGTGCCTTTTGGCATGCTTGAAGGGCCATAGATCATAATCAGTAGCAGAACTGTACACCACTATAGCCTGTAAACTCATAGCCTGCACATCCTTTACTCCCATCAAGCCAGGAGACCAACCCTAGTTCAGTGAAGAGAGTAGGAGGGCATCCTGGGAGCAGCAGCGGCCATACCTTAGACTGAGGCGCCAACCTTGTAATGCAGCAATACAGGGCTGCCTGAATATCAAACACCAAAACCAACACACTTAGCGAGCCCACAACCAAAGCATCAGAGAAAAACTCTGCAGTGCTGCCACATCCAGTCGGGAATAGTGGTGGACAATCAGACGAGGATTTGAAAGGAGAATGCACTGTAAACATCCCCATCCTCAAACCTGGCATTCAGCTTGCTTTCCACATGTCTTCTATAAAAACATAGAAGCAGGAGTAGGCCATTCAGCCCCTCAAGCCCATTCCGCCATTCCATAAAATCATGGCTGATGTATACCTCAAGACCAATTATCTGCCCTTGTCTCAAATCCCTTAATACTCTGACCTAACAAATATTAGGTCTATTTATAAACTATATACATGTTGTATAGTCTGTACCCCTTCCTACATGTGGATCAGTCTGCCGTAACTCTACATAATTTAAACACTTGCTTTCAGCATAGAAACAGTGATACAGTGTTAGAACTTTGCCAATCTGCAGTACAGGCAATTAACAGGCATTAGATTGTTTGGGTAGGCAGATACCTGCTTGCATTTTCATACACAGTGCAAGGTTGTCTTTACCATTTTTTCTACTCTTACCCCACACATGCAGCAATATGACGTGGGGCCTCTAAATGAGAGTCACCCCCCCACAGACTGGGAATGGGAGAAGATTCAGAAACTAGGACCATAGGGAGAGAGTGCGAGACGGTTGGCCACAGTTGGGGCGTCCGGAGAACCGCCACAAGAGGGAGTCAAAGAAGAGCCAGAGCACTGGTTACAGGACAGGCTTCACTGAACTGGGTGAAAAAGAATTCAAGTCCCTCGGAGATAGAGGAGGGTTGCCACCATTGAAGAGCTCACCAAGATTCACGGTCTAGATTCACATTTGAAGAATGTGGAAGAGGAAATTACTTTTTTAAAACACACACAACAAATGGTGCGCAACAAGGAATGACACCAGCTCACTTTAAAATGACTTTTGCTTTTGCCATCTGATAAAACAACCTCAAGACATGGAAATCTTGCCAACTGAGCGTGAGATTTGCCTTTCCAGTGGTCCTTGCCTGAGATGGGCAGAGCCTGGGCAGAGACACAACAATTCTCGCAGCCAAAGTTGAACATTGATTCTCTGGGGAAGTTCCTATATTTGGGAAGCAGTATTCTTTCAACCAACTGTCGGGGGATGGGGGAGGGAGGGTAGATAAGCAACATCTCAGTAGCGAAGGACATGGCAGTTATATATTACGAGTCACTGTAATGTGAGGTTTGCTTAAAAAATGCTAGGAAATTTGTTGGGATACAATGTGATAATTATTACTGGTGTTGTACCAAAGCTTTGTCTGAAGCAGGAAAATCTGTCATAATTTCAATACAGGTATTTCAAATATTTAGATTTTTTCCCACAAACACGCACAGACATGCGTTGAATACGTTGAAAAGAAAATGCTTCCCTAGACTTTCCTTCCCCTTTCAATAGTCACCTCATTCATTACATGGCTCGTTTGTGGGATGACTCTGTGTGCAAATTTTATGCAGCATTTACCCACAAAATACACAGTCACTTTGAAAAGTTTCCATGATGTGATAAGATGCTATATTAAATGCGAAGATTTTAAATTTTTTAACTCTAAATTGATTTACTTAAGCTCAGTGATGCCCATTCACCTACAAATAATAAGAATAATCCTTGCATTTGATGTAACGCCTCATCGCGTCTTTGAGACGTCCTAAAACGCTTCACAGAATATGCTGAAAAGTGAATCGACTGTATATTTTGTGGGTGAAATGCAGCAGCCAATTGTGTACAGCAGTGTCCCACAAACAGTCGTGGATTGAAGTGACCAATTCATTATTATTTTTTTGAAGCAATTATTACCCCCAGAAAAGTAATCCGCCAAACGACTAACAACCAGGTTCTTACTTACTGCTAGGTAAACAGGCATTGTGGAGTAAGGAAACGTGCCCAACATTTCGCCCTAACGGGAATCAAACCCAGGTCTCTCGCTTGCGAGGCGAGTGCTCTAAACCACTAAGCTACAAATACACAGTCACTACAATTTACAGTCAAATGTTGTGAAGCGCTCAGAGGCACTGACACATGATAAGGCGGCTACACAAAATGCAAGGATTATTATTACTCTCTCCATCTGCCAGGATCATCAGTCTTCCTTATAGCTTTCTCTGGACTCTTTTCATATTATTTTTTTCTTGGATCGATTTCAGATGCTCTATTTTTGGTCTCTCAATTTTGTTCTCCGTCCCCCACTAAAATATTCCCCAAACTCAAACCTTTTGCCTTTGTCTTCATTCTCTCGTGGCCCTCCCTGTAAATCTGGGTTCACCAACTGCCCACATGACCAGATCGTCACCTTTTTATAATCACTTGTACCTCATTCTAGAATTTATCAATTTCAAATTTCAATATTCCAGCATCTGTGTCCCGGCCGACAATCCCTCACAGAAAACCGTCACTCACTCCACACGGCTGTTTGTGAGACTGTGCTGTGCGCAAAGCTGGCTGCTGCTTTCTCCTACAAAATACACAGAAACTGCACTTTAAATCCGGTGAAGCATCTTAAGTTATTCTGTGAACTCTGATAACTGGATCCTGGCTTAACTTGTGACAACCACTTAAGTCGTCATGCTGTCAATATCCCGGGCACATTTATTTACGTATTTATACAAATGCCTAGCTCCCTACTCCAGATAACTCGTCACTGAACCCTTTTCTCACGGAGCAGCGAGGTATCAGGCGTTTACTTTATGTCAATAGCAGGAATTATCATATCAAAGATTCTGCATGTGTTTAGGATGTGGTGGCATCGTAGATTACTCATGCATACAGTAATTAACTACCGTGATTGGAGCTACCCTAAGAATAGAATGACCATATGTCCCCATTTCCTGGGATAGTCCCTGGCCAAATTTGCCCCGTCTTGAGTCCAACAACAAACTGAGCAATAATAATAGCATTCTAAAACAGATACACTCATCAGAGAAATACAGCCATTTAATCCAACAAGCTTTTCCAGTAACTGACAGCATCAGAATTCTGGTGAGTTTGAAAATATACGTCCCTGGATCTAGTTTACCCTACCTAGTTTACCTGATAAACTACCTAGTTTACCCTAAGTGTGGTCACCCTACCCTGAGAGTAATGTCCAAGTGTCAACACTCGAGTGTTGCTCACAGCACAGCCAGAGGCCCAGGACAAATGAGGTCCCAAACATAGTTCATTACATTGCTGCATGTTCTTTGGCACTGGGTAAACTTCCTATTATCTGTCTCTTGTGTTTTAGTTTCACTCTCACAGCACTGAACTCGTTGGGAAATCTTGCAGAATTTTCGCCTGCAGCTTCTTGTTCCTGTTAATTGGTAAAGACAACACTCAAAACAAGAAGGGAGTTTCTCCATGTGTCCTGGCC